TATACAGCTCCAAAGTGCTGAAAGAGAAAACCACTGTGCAGTATGGCATGGTGCAAACTCCCTAGGCACACTTGACAGGACATAATCTGGCCGAATAAGGACACCTGCAGCTACAATCTGACTGTCTTGTCCTTGAGAAAAGGTGTTGTCATCCAGCAAAGGGATGATCACACAGACACTACAGGAAACAGGGAGATCTGAACTTCCTGTTTCACAGAGAAGGTGTGGAAGGTGCAAGACCAAACCCTTATTTACTGTAGTATAATGAAGAAAGCAAATGTGAAGAAACCTACACATACATCTCTTCTGAGATTTGTTTTTCTCCCCTTCACTCTCCATAGAACCTGAAAAGTTGGAGTAATTTTGCTGTGGCTACGGAGCATGAGATGGGACAACAGGATCTTAAGACAAACCTGAAAGAAACATTCCTGAACATATTTTTTTTCCAAATCACATGAGAAGTCTGGCACAAAAAAGGCTTAATAGAAAAGGCTCTGAAGTCTTTTGGCACTAGTTTCAAAGGCACTGCATAAGCACATTCCCCAAATCATTTCAGTGAGACCATGTACATCCCCCACCACACAAGAATTTTACCAGAACAACATTCTCACTTGTATGAGATTGCTGCTGCTGCTTGCTAAAAAAAAAGCAAGAGATAATAAAATATCAAACACAAAGAACTCTTTACTTTGTCTTGTAATTCCAGATGCGGACAGATTTATCCAGGGAACAAGTAGCAAGAATGGGTTTCCAAATACAGATGTCCAGACCAGTGATTGAAGCAGAATGCACTGGGAAATTCAGATAGGTAAAATAAGCTGCCTTCTCCTGAGAAGCAATGAGAACATAAAAAACTAGAAATACTTTGCTGCAAGAAGTAAGTCAGGTGAGAAATCTATCATAGCTCTTTGCATACACTAATCAAAAGATTAAAGGAAACTACTTAATCCTTTCACTGCACCAGTCTGAACATAACAATGTTAAAAACATAACAATGTTAGAATAGTTTTAACTTTATAATTAATGAACAAGAGGAGTAACACAGGGAAGATGTAAGCTCCACAATTCTCATACACTAGTGAGAGCAGGACATAATTGTACGTATCTAAAGAAATGCAGGTTAGATAATGAAATTAAACTGCACCTGCAAGAATTCAGTTAAGGCCTTCTGGTCAGACACATATTTAAAAATAATCAAGTCCTGACTGATAAGCAACTTAACATTAACTTAAGGTTTAGCTATTACATGCTGGAAGTGAAGCACCAGTAAAACTTTGGACTGCATGCAGAAAGAGGAGCTGTAACTACAAAGCCCTTTCCTATAAAGGTCTTCCCATACAGTTGTACTCAGGTTAGGCATTTAACTCCATGCAAGTCTATTTCATTTCTCTTTTGTCTTATTATTTATATTCCTTCAGAGTAGGGAATGTCTTTCATTGGGTTTGTTTTTCACAAAGAGGCTTCACTTCTAAGACTTTGACAACTGTTACTTTAAAGTCATATAAGGTTCCCATTGCTGTTGTGGCTTTACCGTTGCATTAAAGTTTCCATATCTTACAGTGGAGCACAAACCACTACAGTTACATTAGAGACCTCTCTATTAAAGACTTCAGTGGTTCAACAGTGACACACAAACCCTTAAAGAGTCTAAACAGTGTCCTCTACCGTTCTGCTGCATAACATCAGCTTGAACGAGGAGCTACTGAAATACAGCTCTTGGAGAAGCATGGAAAGCTTCCTATCATAAGCTGTAAGGGTTTGGATGCTATTTAATGGAGTTTATGAGAATGCATCATAGAAAAAGACCATTACGATACACCCCTTACTGGACATGATGGCTGTGGAATGTGGTAAGATTGCACTCACCTTCCTCAGATCAGTAGAGGGCATATTAAACATGTAAAGTTGATTTTCACTTGTGTTAACGACCATTGTTTCCTCAGAGGGGCTGAAGCATATACATAAAATGTTCTGTCTGCCTGACTGCATTGGGTCACTGCTGTACGGGTCCTGAGGGAGCTACACAAGAAATGCATCCCATGGGATATTCCAGGTCTCTGTGTTTTAGTAGTAGGCATGCACACACACACTTTTGCTGCCATGTTACTCCAATAAGCATATACATAACCTCAACAGGACAACTTGGAGATAGTACATAACTACTGCAAGGCAGGGAATAGAGGACAAGATGACAAAACTGAATATATAGCATGAGATCCATCTATAACTGAAGAAAAGTATCAGAGGACATTTCAGAATTATTCTTAACAAGTTTGCATTAAACAAAAATGGAAATGGTAGCAGGAAAAACATTGAGGGGAAAAAACCCTAGCAAATGCAAGAATAAAAACTGCATGAAATTTGTGATCTCAGAATAACAGTTCTTTGCATTCAGGCTGATAACAGCCTTATTGCAGGGTCTTGTGCATGGGGAAGATCTGACCTTTTAGGCCCAGAGCACGAAGACTTGACCAGATCATCAGTGTTAAATGTTCTTATCCAGAGACTGCAGTTAGTCAATGCACACAGCTCATTATAGAACAGTTAGAAATCTTACCAGACTACTTTAGAGTGCACAAGTCTTATGACAACTCTCATAAATGTCTGAGGGGAGAAAAGTTTTGTCTTGGAAAAAAACACTGCAGCATAGTTCTTCAAAACTCATGTAGAGTACTTCTTTGATCCAAAAAGTCTCCATAAATACAAGTTTCTTAAAGGCTTCCTGAAGTTTAGTAGTCTCACAGCACGTTTCACATGTGGAAACATGCAGAGTTACCCTGCAAAACGACATCTGTCTCTGCTTTCAGTGTAACCTCTGCCAACTCCTTTCCTTTTGTTATCACCAGGACAGTTAGCTAAAGCTTACAATGTAATTTAGAGATGTGCTGAAAATTATTACTAATGACTGAATCAGAAGGACAAACCATCCCCATCCCTCCCCACCTCCAAAAAAAAAAAAAAAAAAAAAAAAAAGCAAAAGCTTAAGGCCTTTGCTACATAACTGCTTGGGAAAGCTTTTTTTTCCCTACCCATATTTCTTGGCTCTCCTGGTAGACTTCCATTTCCTTGGTTTTCTCAAAGAGAAGAACAACTCCTGGGTTGGGTGAACATGCAAAGCCTTTGGAATAGGCTGCAATTGCAGATATTTGAGGCAAAGAATCCTGTTGTGAACCGTTATCTTCAGAGGCTACTCCACAAGGAACATTAGAACTGCAAGCAGTAAATGCATGAAGACTTAAGAATAAAGCAGGACAAAGCAAAAATATTTATCAATACCAATAAAAAGATTATTATCTATTCATAAGCTAGACAAGAAGGCTGCAAGTGGTCTGCAATGAATCTGCATGCACAAGTATTAAACTATTAAGAATAGTATTTGACAAAGATTTACCTCTCATGTTCTTTTGTTGCATCTTCCAGTTCCCTGGGTGCTTTTTTGTACTCTACACTTATCTCCAAGTGCAGCTGCCCAGTTTTAAACCAGGTAAGTTTGCCTGTGTCAGTGCCACATATAAGATCCTCCTCAGACAGCCAGGCATGGCACAAGTAGTTTTGTGGCTCTTCCCTTCGTAAATTCGTCTGCTTCAAATTTCCTTCACTGTACTTAAAAAGTTTGAAAAAGCCATTTCCTGTGATACAAACCTGTGCATTGTCTTGAGGACTAAAGCTCACCTAAGGAACAAAAGAGAGAGGAATTATCTTCCACAACTATGTTCACAAACAAATATTATGCCTATTCTGAAGAGTTTCAATACCAGACAAAGGAAAACAAGGGAAGAAGGTTCATAGAAACATACAGGAACACAGAAGAGGCTAAGAAATAACCATCTTAACTACACATTGCAGTTTCCCCCCTTTCAAAATTGTGTATATCAATTTTATACAATGCTACAAATACATTAAGTCCATTAAGCTAAGATGCTATCTGAATGGCCATTCAATACCAAAGAAGGAGTCTCTGCCCCTCAGGATTCAAGGACTAAAGGCAACACTATGTGTTTGCTGCTGATTAGCAAGTTTTTCAGGTAGCAATCAACCTGAAAATGGGACCATTCATTCTTAAAGGACAGGAATAAACTCTTTATTTCTGTATTTCAGGCAAACCTTACCACTTTTACATATTAATTCACAATTAGGTGTTTATTGGTGAAAACAGTGGAATAGTCATCTCAATACCCAACATGAATGATAGCAGGGGTAGTTAGACCTCTTTTTTCATGCTCAATGAGACTTTAGACAGCACTTGTCTTTATAGTCACTCTCCTCTCTTTAGAAACTAAACTCATGAAGTCATTAGTTCACCCAATACCTGCTTGTAGCTCAACTGCAGAAAATAAGGCAGCTGGGGATGACCAACCCATGTACTGAAAGCCTCTTACCTCCCTGCAAGAAAGACTCTGAAAAAGGGCATCCCAAAAAGGATACAGGAATTGTGTGAGTGCCATCAGCCTGCTCCCAGCCACCCCTCCTGGGCTAATCCTCTGGTATGAATATTGAACAGACTGCAAGAAGAAAAAGGTGCAGGAGCATGCCAAGAGCTTCCAAGATGTTGTTATGCCTACTGAGCAGAGGCAATATATTTAATGAGCGTTTCTGCAGTGACACGTTACACACTCACTGGCTGGTTGTACTGGCCATAGAACTCATGTGATATAAGAGATAAGGACATGAAAACATCTATTAGGGATCAAGGAAAAAAATAATTTCTCTCTGTGTCCTGCTGCTGGGGAAGGCAAACAGTGCACGGCAAGAAAGGCCACTGAAACAACATCAAATGTGCAGTGTGGAGCCCCCTCCTTCCTTTCGTGCCCTGGACAGAAGCCACACGGCCACAGGGAAGCACATACCTGTGCACATACCCTGCAGACTGGACCGGGGTGCTACCTGGTACCCAGCACTTGTTGAACTAACGTCAGATCCCTTTATCCACCTTTTTGGCATAGTCTGACAGACTCCTAAAGAACCAGCCGTGAGTGCAGCAGGATGTTGGGACGTTGGGGATGAGCCGCAGCGCCGGCCCAGCCCAGGCCTGGGGGCAGCGCGGGCAGCCCCGCACCCCGCACGGGCACGTCGGGCCCGCAGCCCCGGGGCC